TCGAGGATTTCGTAGTAGGTTGGTTCGCGCGCCGAGGAGTAGGGTTTGGGGGATGATGAGGTGAATGTGCGGTATAGTGGTTTGGTATAGGGTGTGGTGGTGGTCTTGGTGGTGATGGTGGTGTGTCGGAGGCGGGTGGCCGTGGGCCGTAGACGTGGGAGGGTCATGATTCTTTTTGACGGTTATTTTGTGTTGGTTTCTTTGGGAATGATGTGTTACATTTAGGTAGAGGGTGAAATTAAGGGGAAATGGAGGGTGCGATTGAATGGAGGGAGAGTTGTTGGAGGTGCGACTTTATCGGGATAAGATGAGAGGAAGGAAATCCGCCGCTCTTCGGTAAGGCGGACTGCGTCATCGGTCGGGGTTTATCTGATCTGATCTGGTGGTGGACCTCTGCTTCTGAGTACTTCGTAGGATATACTTTGTACTACGTTGTATGGTGTTATGCTTGGGTGTAGATTGTGTATCTTGATCTCGGAATAATGATGAGATGATCTATATAGTGGTTTTATCATTTAATTTCTTTTCTTTCTTGTTCTGGTAGTTTATTGGACTGGTGTGCATGTATCGACATTGGTTCATTAATGGTGGTTTTGGACATCATTGTATGAATGTACTGCTTAGCCCATCTCACTAGTCCATTGGGTATTTCGTATGCATATTTCTCTTTCTTATTATCTTATACATTTGAATGGTCCAGTTAGGCAGGTTCCTGCAGGCTTCATGGTGCACGCGACCATGTGCAATGTTAGCGCACACTGATACAACCTATACATATAGGTCTCCTTTCATAACTGGTTTATAGTGATTAGTACTTTGAAGGCACTCGATCAGGAGCTGCAAGTTGTACCTGTACCTGAAGCTTCTCCACACTACATCGAATTAGACAATCAGCATGGGCTAAGATACTAACCAGTTGGCGCCGCGGATCCCTGAAAGCAGCCAAAGTCAACCTCAGGCTTGGCATTGACCGTCTTTTCCCCGACGGTTGCCGCTTGCCCTCATTTTTCTTTCCCCTCCATCAGCCCACCACCAACCCACCCCGGTTTGCCAGCTTTTCAACATGGCTGCCCAGGCTAGCGAGAAGCTGCAGAAGCTCGACCGTAAGTCACTGAACGATCCCGTTGCTGATCTCCGAACCCTCCTTTGCCATCCGCTTGCAGTAAGCTGATAAGATTTCCCCGCTCGCTCTCTAGTCAACGGTCAAAGCGGCGACGCGGAGGCGGACGCTCCTGCCGCTGGTCAAACACAAGCCGGAGAGGCGGAGGACGACTCCGATGACGATGAAGTAGAGGATGGAAATGCTGCCGGCGAGGGTGCAGCCAGCGGAGGTGCGCTTTCTCCACGGATACCTACCCCTCGGGCAAATTCCAGAATTCTCCCCGCACTGACCAAATCCGCGGATTTTCAGCCGCCAAGAAAAAGAAGAAGCGCAAGTCCAAGAAGAAGAAGAAGGGTGGCGCCAAGGTCCAATCCTCTCCTCCGCGCGTTCCCCTGTCGACTCTGTTCGCCGGAAAGGAATACCCCGAGGGTGAGATCGTCGAGTACCAGAATGAGAATTCGTACCGCACCACCAACGAGGAGAAGCGCTACCTCGACCGCATGAAGAATGACTTCCTGCAGGAGTACCGTCAGGCTGCTGAGGTGCACCGTCAGGTTCGTCAGTATGCGCAGAAGACCATTAAGCCTGGTCAGACCCTCACCGAGATCGCGGAGGGCATTGAAGAATCCGTCCGTGCCTTGACTGGTCACCAGGGTCTTGAGGAAGGTGATAACCTCAAGGGTGGTATGGGTTTCCCCTGTGGTCTCAGCATTAACCACTGCGCTGCCCACTACACCCCCAACGCTGGCAACAAGATGGTGTTGCAGCAGGGTGATGTCATGAAGGTCGATTTCGGTGCCCACATCAACGGCCGCATCGTTGACAGTGCTTTCACCGTGGCTTTTGACCCGGTGTATGACCCTCTCTTGGCGGCCGTCAAGGATGCTACCAACACTGGTATCCGCGTATGTTCTACCTTTCTGTCCTAATACTGGGTTTCTGGTTACTAACAGCTGCATGTAGGAAGCGGGTATTGACGTCCGCATGAGCGACATTGGTGCCGCTATCCAGGAAGCCATGGAGAGTTACGAAGTTGAAATCAACGGGACTATGTATCCCGTCAAGTGTATCCGGAACCTCAACGGTCACAACATTGACCAGCACATTATCCATGGTGGCAAGAGCGTTCCGATTGTCAAGGGTGGCGATCAGACCAAGATGGAGGAGGGTGAAGTGTTTGCCATTGAGACCTTCGGCAGTACCGGAAAGGGCTACGTGAGAGAGGATGTAAGTTGTTGACATCGATTGGCCAATATGTTCAATTTGCTAATTGTGATATGAAGATGGAAACCTCTCACTACGCTTTGATCCCTGATCACAGCCAGGTCCCCCTGCGTCTCTCTTCGGCGAAGAACTTGTTGAACGTCATCAACAAGAACTTCGGTACTCTTCCCTTCTGTCGCCGTTACCTCGACCGGTTGGGCCAGGACAAGTACCTCCTTGGGGTGAGTGGAGCCTCTGCGTCGTAAAGTGTCAATGCTAATCAGCTTGTGCAGTTGAACAACCTGGTTTCGTCCGGAATTGTCCAGGACTACCCGCCTCTTTGCGATATCAAGGGCTCCTACACTGCCCAGTATGAACATGTAGGTTATCTCACAATCTCAATCTCCATGGCCACGCAGCTAACCAGATGACAGACGATTGTCCTTCGACCCAATGTAAAGGAAGTCATCAGTCGCGGCGACGACTACTAAGGTGGATCTATCTTTGGTCGAGGGTTTGGGGATTGTACCACTCCAAATAGCCTCCTTTGAAACGAACCAAGTATATGAAATGCATGTTAACTATTGACCAATGATGCCCATGATTATTCTATTTCAGCTGTAGAACTACTAAACCACACCGAATAATGAAAGCGTACAGGAATCGGACCATCCGTGGACCCGGGTAGCCCCACGTGGAAAGCATCCGCTCCGAAACTCACGTTGTCTGTTCCTTGCGCTCTCCCCCATCAGCCCATTCCTCCCTCTTACTCTTCCTCACTCTTCCTCCTCGGTCGCGGTCATCTATGGCGTAAATTGCCACCTTCAAAGTCTGTCATTACACCCTTGCTCGTCCCTCGTTATGTCTTCGTCCGTCGTCGAAGCCACCGCGGATGCTTCACCGCATCTCCGCGTGTCCGCATCCAAGAAGAGCCAGGCTCCGCAAACCACCTCCGACAAAACAGAGCCTTCTACCAGAATCGATCCTCCAGAAGCCTCCGCGGTCGATGATCACTTCTTTTGGACATACACAGAGGAGCCGCATCGCTCCAGGCGACAAGCCATCATCAAAGCTCACCCGGAGGTATGCACATACTCCCCCGTGGCCTTTTCTACCAAAGATTCATTTACTGACATGACCTCCTTCGTGCTTCCTTCAGGTTACCAAGCTCTGCGGACCAGAGCCCCTGACCAAATATGTCGTTCTGGGCGTCGTCTCCCTTCAGATCCTCTGCGCCTACCTGCTCCGCAACACGTCCATGTTCGACTGGAGATTTCTCGCGACTGCATACGTGATCGGAGCCACCTCGAACCAGAACCTCTTCCTCGCCATCCACGAGATCTCCCATAACCTCGCCTTCCGGTCTGCTATGGCCAACCGTCTCTTGGCCATCTTCGCCAATATCCCGATCGGTTTGCCCTATAGCGCTGCATTCCGGGTACGTTGGACTATGACATCCAGAAGCATATAAAACCAAGTATACAAGAAGCTAACTTTTCCCGCTCCATAGCCCTACCATCTCACCCACCACAAGTCCCTCGGTGTCGCAGGCCTAGATACCGACCTTCCCACCGCCGTCGAAGCCTTCCTCCTCGACTCCCTTCTAGGAAAGGCATTCTTCTGCACCTTCCAGATCTTCTTCTACGCCGTCCGCCCCATGTTCATCTACAGCCCCCCCTTCACCTCCATTCACGTCCTGAACCTGATCACTCAGCTCACCTTCGACTACGCTTTGACCAAGTTCTGCGGCGGCTCCCTCCAACCTCTTCTATACCTCCTTCTGAGCTCCTTCCTAGCCGGCTCTCTCCACCCCTGTGCCGGCCACTTCATCGCAGAGCACTACTTCTTCTCCCGCGTCGACCACGGTACCGAGTCTATCCAAGAGCAGAAGAACAACCAGAAGAAGTCCCACCCTCTCGACTCCCTTCCCCCACCGGAAACCTACTCCTACTACGGCCCCCTCAACTTCTTCACCTACAACGTGGGCCTGCATAACGAACACCACGACTTCCCCGCTATCCCCTGGACAAGACTGCACGAGCTCCACCGCATCGCTAGCGAATTCTACGAGCCCCTCCCCTGCCACCACAGCTGGGTGTGGGTGATCTGGACATTCATCCTGGACAAGAACGTCGGCATGTGGTGTCGGGTTAAGCGTGCGCAGGGCGGTCGTCTCGTTGGTGGTGGTGGTGGTGGTAGCGGACGCGCAGGTGAAAGCATCTCGGCTTCGTCGGCTGGTCCGGAAGGGGAGTCGGGAGATGGGTGGAAGGAGAGTGAGATTCAGAATTGATTTGGATTATCATCTGTTTTCTCTACTACGTGTTGTTGTATCATGTGTACCGTGTGGACGGTATCGCTTTCGTAGAACCTGTTTTGCTTCATGACCTGTGACATACTATACTAGAGATGATATCCCATGGCTTTATTGTTTCCACGATGAACTAACCTGTGACTGGCTGACTGATTGACTGGGTGCTGGTGCCTGTTGATACTACGCTGGGATGGACTAACCTTATTTGCATGACATGTCTGTTATCTACCTACCTACTTATCTTACAAAGTACATGTGATATAGTTGAGTATGATTAGCTTGTGTATAGCTACTTAGTGTGGAGAATCAATTATTGTGTTTTCATCGCCGAAACAACTTTTTCGACACATACAAGTACAGAAACGCAAGGTGATAGACATTCAATGGCATCATCATGATTAGCTTTACTGCCTGACTGACTGAAACTATGGACGCGTGCATTCGTCTAAACGGTTATGTCGCTGGGAACACAAGACAGGACAAGGAGATGGAAAAGGAGACAAGAGAAAAGAAAGGGAAAGGAATCGCTAGGATAGAGTCAGGGGTAAGGCATCCGACCAATTGGAGAGTTGCAAGGGCAGAAAACAAGGGCCCACGCATGGACATTCCATGGAACGGACGGCCGGCCCTGCCTCCCATCTACTGCATCATCTCATCACAGCCGCCGGGAGCAATTTTAGAAGACTGAGGGTAAAGGTGTTCTGGTAACAGAAAATGGAAAGAAAAAGAAAAGAAAAATTTCAAGTGAAAGGCCGTACCGAGGTGCCAGATAAGCCAGCTGTGAACGGAGCGGCAGAATGGTAAAAGAGTAGGTATCACATGGACACCAACATTGCCGATGTCGACAAAGCTGTTAATAGGAAAATGGACACTCCAGAAGAGAATACAGTTGGTTGACAAAAGCGGATGGCGGGTAAAAAATGCTAAGAAAAAGAAGAGCAAGCGAGCGCGGAGCACATAGAAGACGAGTCGAAAGACTGAGAAATTAGAAGAAGAAGTATGCGATCAGGAAACTGAGGAGGCACAAGCCAGCGACCATCTGCACTGGCACGCCTGCCTCGGCAGATTGCGGCTGCTGCTGCACCAATGGCGCCGGCGCCTTTTCGGTTTCACCTCCGATCTTCCGCTGCCTCAGGCCCTGATCTGCGAGCTTCTCCTTCAGCGCCAAAATCTGCGCGTTAGCCTCGGACAATTGGGCTTTCAGATCATCGCTTGAACTTGCTGCCCCGCCCATCATGGCCGACTTTGTAGACGTGGCTGGGCTCTCAGCAATCGCTTGTGGGGTCGACACTTCCCGCTTGGGCTTATCGCTGAAATCTGGCGGTGGGATCGGTGACGTGTCGTTAGCGCTTTTAGCAACTGCTGCAGCAGGTGTCTGGAAGTTCGCATTAGGAGGAGAGGTGTAGGCTGGGGGTTCTTCTTCCGGCATAGTCTAAATAGAACAATTAGTTATCCGATGGCTGGAGATCCGAAAAGGGGTCGGTGAGGGGTTAGTTACGCCATTCGTTTCGGTGACTTGTTCGGCAGCTGAGGAATCATCTGCAGGCAACCAGTTCACACGGATCTTGCGTTCTTGAAGCGAAGCCTTGGAAGATTTCTCGAACTATGGGATTATGTTAGATTGCTGCCGGTGGGGATCACCATGAAAACAGACATACAATCGAAGTAACATTGGCGAACTCCATATCGCGAGTGACGGCAACAGTCTGGACTAGAAACTTGTCCTTGCACTTGGCATCATCTGCAGGTTCTTCCTTCATGGCCTGGAGCAGAACTATCGAGATCGTCAGCCATTGCGCAACGGCAACAATCCAACGAGGCACTGAGAAACCAACCTTGAACGTCGACATTCTTTCCAGGATCTATCCGGCCCGAGTTCGGGCGAACACAGTAACTATTTCATGTTAAACCCTTGTTGCAACGATACTAGTATGGCTAATGACGAAGGGGTGTGGCCACGTACTGTTTAGGGGCAGTCGTTTTAACCTGGAGGGAGATTCGTTGTTAGCATAAGACAATCCAAAGACGTTCAGGGAAGTCGATATAACCAACCTTGAAGACCACCGGCTCAGCGTTGTCATTCTTCAAATGCAAGATCTGGCACACCTCACGATCGAAGGGGCCTGGGGATTTAGTCAGCTCTCGGATACTTCCAGGAGGGGGGTATATAGATCGATTCAGGACACCACGTACGCTTGAATCCCAACTCCGGAGGCTCGAGAATAATAGACATGTTGAGTAGAGGGTGAAGAGTATGTCACACAGGAAGGAAAGGGATGCGCGGGTGAAGTAGTGTACAGAAGATGGTCCCAGCAGTGCGGGAGAGGGTGGCCCTTAGAAAGTTAGAATGAGAGTGCGCCGAGGAAAGAGGAACAGTCGCGAGTGAACACAGCAGCAGGACCCGCAGAAGAAATAGATACCTAACAAAGACTGGATGATAAGGAGGGAACTCGGTCAGATGTAGTCAACGACGAAGTGGATGCCAACCACGAGGCAGAATGATTAACTGTTCAGGCGCAACTCTCCGTTTCGGGGGGAGCGAAACGGATCCAGTTGGTCTCGCCGTCGCAACTGCTGGTTGGGCCGGGGTGCTGACTCAGCCGCGGCCACGGGGGCACTGGTCAGGTGATGTCATCACGGGGTCTGGCAATGGCCGTTTGAGCCTCGTTTCAAGCCAGCAAAGTACCTGCAGAGTGCAGGCAATCTGCATCATCACCCTCTTTTCTCGCTGTCTTCAGAGATGGGCAACTGCCGGACAGTGCTCACTGCGGTCGCTGTCCGCTTCCATTGTCTAGACTCCATCCACTCCATTGCTCCGTACCTTATTTACTACGGAGTACTCCTGTCGGTTCTGGGTCCTGACTCGGGATCCACTATATGACATCGTCTAAAAATAATCAATCAAATGGTTCGAGCTAAGTGTCCACTATCTCTAGAGATGTGCGGATGTCTTGCATACCATTAGCCTTCTTTTTCTTTTTAGTTTGAAACGGAGATTTTCCAGCTGTCACATTGCAATAGGGTGGTTGCTCTCTTTCCAGACACTTTGCCAGCTGGTCAATCTTGAATCACGACGCTATCCACTGACTCAATACGAGGCTATCTAGTCAGTTCCCTTACAGTACAGCCATCCAGGCACGCCTGTCACACCGAACTTCTGAAGATTAGCAGGCGCCATGGGTACGAAACTTAAAATGTTGAAGTGGGCTACAATGCCAACAGTGATCCTCGATCCGGGGCGCCCTATGCGCTTACTTTCCAGGATTTGCGCCAATCGTGCTGAACAGCTGTTGTTCGCCAAACACCACGCAAGCAACAAGCCATAGGTACCCAATCTCTTAGATTGGTCTAAGACGGCTGTCAGGCGCCAATAGCACACATCTTCCGGAGCCCATTGGTCGATCTGACTTGTACTGTCTGCTCTAACGTTTCTCGGGGGCCTTTTGAGGCATTTTCAGAATTCCATCATAGATCGGGTTTGCCGGCAATCTAACAAAGTCGAATCGCAGCTAACCGCAGCTCCCTTCTAATGACTGGCAATGAATCGTCCGATATGACGGGCGAATGAGTGTTACAAATCCTGCACGATCTGAAAATCAGACGCGACTCGGGTATCTAGATTGTCATGGGGCGTTTTGTGATATTGAAGCTCAACATAGGCGCTGTAAAAGTACGACCGGCTTTATACCGATTCTGAATTGTAGAATTACTTCTGCGCGACTAGTGTCCTGGGTGCGGATTTCCGTTCTGTTCAACCCGCACGCACTGGGCCTCAGACCATGGACATGATATCCATCCTGAACCGGGATTCAAAAACGTCTAAAGACAGGTACTGGTAGAAGACAACCATATGGGCTTCCCCAGCTGTACGAGCTCCAGAGAAAGGCTGGAAAGGTCCAGAACATTGGTGTGCCTGATGCCGCTTGGGGGGCGGCCTATCTAGGCGGCGGGACATTCCGCAGCCGGCCATCTATCACTCTGCTCAAGCTATCGATACGTCACCCACAAGCCCAGCTCTTCCCAACGCTCAAACATTTCCCCCCCGCTGTCGTCGCTTTCACAAGGCGCCATATTTGTCTATAGTTTTCATCAGGTCCGCTCGATACCATACTCACAACTCGACCAGACGCTCACCGAGCAAAGGCGATCCCTTTACCCCGCTTTTGAGACTCTACCACCACCTCACCCCGTCCGAACTCACTGGCAGCGTCACCATGGCCTCCTCCGATTTGGACCAGCTCATTGAGATGGGTTTTGATAAGGAGAGATCCGAAATTGCAGTGAAAAAGGGCAACGGCAGTATGTTACTTTTAAGCCCAGCTACATTGTGTCGACCGCTGACAGTCTTCTGTAACGCTCTACAGTTCAGGGCGCTCTCGAATGGCTGGAAGAAAATCAGGACAAGTCACTGGAGGAAATTAAAGAAGCGGAGAGCGAGGAGGGCCCTGCACTTCAGCCGGGAGAGGAAGCTCGCAGCTTGGTGTGCAACGAGTGTGGCAAGAAGTTCCGGAGCCATGCACAGGCCGAGTTTCACGCGTCCAAATCTCAACACGTTGACTTCTCCGAATCAACGGAAGAGATTGCACCTTTGACTGAAGAGCAAAAGAAGGCAAGGCTCGAAGAGCTTAGACAGAAACTAGCGGAAAAGCGGGCGGGACTGTCAGAGCAAGATAAGATTGACAAGAAGAGGAATGAGGTACGGATGCTTTTGACTACGATTGGAATCTAATTGCTGATTCTGTCTCAGGAAATCCGCAGGAAGAGCACGAAGGACTCCCAGGACGTTAAAGAAGAACTCCAGCGAAAGCAAGCGCTCAAAGAAGCTGAACAGAAGAAGAAAGACAAGCTAGCAGATATCGAGGCCAAGAAACGTGTCAAGGCTAGGATTGAAGCTGATAAGGAAGAACGGCGTCTGCGGGCTGAACGGGAGAGAGCTGAACGTGCAGGTGTAGCACCTCCTGCTCAGCCAGCACCAGCCCCGGCGGCCACCACGTCTGGACCCGTTGCCTCGAAGCCCGCCTCAGCCTACACGGAAACCCGCTTGAGATTCCAGACATCGAAGGGAAATATCATGAAGACTCTCCCAGTGACTACCACACTCTTTGAGGTCGCTGCAGCTCTGCAGCGAGAGGACGGCATAGAGGTACACAGCTTTGCGCAGAACTTTCCCCGGAAGGTCTTCGATGCGGAGTATTTCGGCGAGTCACTGAAGGACTTGGGCCTGATCCCTAGCGCGAGTCTTGTTGTCCAGTGATTACTCATACATCTGTGTTCCTTGCTGGAGCAAACCGAGCGTTGAAATAATGATACTCTACAAATCAGTAACTAAGTGGTGATGAGGTTCGTAATGATTTTGTTTGTGCCTTAAAAGCAAGGCTCGCATTAAGAATGTTATAGATTGTCAGCATCGCATGAGTTCAGCACAGAAGCTGAGAAGCAACCGAACGAAGTATAAGCATAGATTTAGCCTAGAAAATTGACATCATGGATTCTAGGTTTCTGAGTTCACTAATTGCTGTAAATTAGGCAGTCATTGCATGAGTGATACGCCGCAGGCAGCTATATCATCACGTGATGACGTGATAAGGCGTGTCGGCATCGATCACGCGTCGACACGCCTGGAGCTAGCATGCTTGATTGTCATTCACTAAATAACTATCCCACTGGTGGCTTTCAATGACCGTCCGGATTGTTATCTCACTATTCTTACTGCAACAATGCCCGCGTAAGTGAGCTCGGTGACCCCATTTCTCCTCTCCCCTCGTCAGTCTCCAGAGGTTAACCGCGTCTCTAGTGTTGGCGACCAGCACCGAGGGAACCCAGCGTCCATCATGATGCCCAACTCCACAGGGGCGATCACCGCAAACCCATTCGAAGAGCCACAGCGACGGATCAACGAGTACACTGCCCAGGAAATCGCAACTTTGCAAGCTCGTCTCGATAAGAAGCTCGGCCCCGAATACATCTCTTCCAGGCCTGGGGCTGCGGGACAGAGAGTACACTACTTGTCGGCCGATAAATGCATCAACCTGGCAAACGAAGTTTTCGGGTTCAATGGCTGGTCAAGCTCGATTCAGAATATTCAGATTGATTTCGTCGAGGAGAGTCCCAATACTGGGAAGATCAGCCTGGGTCTCTCTGTTATTGTGAGGGTGACACTGAAAGACGGTACATATCACGAGGTAGGCATCACTCTATTGCAGCGAGCCTGCCCTATATCTCAGCTAAGACACGAGTGGTGTTAGGATATCGGTTACGGTCACATCGAGAACTGTAAAGGAAAGGCTGCTGCTTTTGAGAAAGCTAAGAAAGAGGGGACAACCGATGCTCTAAAGCGGGCTCTGAGGAACTTCGGCAATGTCCTGGGCAACTGTGTCTACGATAAGGACTATGTGTCGAAGGTCACCAAAGTAAAGACCGTTCCGGTATGTGACCGAGGTGTGGACAATCTATTCACGACGACTGACACGCTCTAGGCCAAATGGGATGTCGACGAACTGCACCGTCACCCAGACTTTGTTCCCAGGAAAGAGCCCGTAAAACCAAAGCCCAGCCCGGAAGACGATGATCTACCACCTCGGCCAACGGATGTTGGCAAGAACAGTAGTATCGACGATTCGATGGCATTTGATGGTGACGGGGAGTTCGGAAGTAAGCAACAATGGCATGTCACGATCCCTTACAACCGCTAACCATCACCTTAGGTGACCTATTTGATGAAGCCGACTTCGGGGTAGGCGGAACAGGCAACCCAGACGAGGTAGTACTAGGACCAGAAACACAGAAGCAGCCACCGACGCCTCTAAATGGACCCAATGTACCTCTACAGCCATTCAATAATAACGCCCGTGCACCGATGAGGCCCAACCCAGCCATGGTAACTCCATCCAAGCCGGAACGGCCCTTCAACCCAGCTCCTGGTGCCAGACAAAATCCCGCTCCTCAGCCCTTTAACAGCAGACTCAACCCCTCCGCAGCCCAAAATCAGCAAGCACCTCAACGACAACCCATGGCCCCTCAAGGGCCCCAGCAAAACCTCCCCAACAACCGAATGATCCCACCAGCACAAGCAGCAGCAGCCGCATCAACCACGGGTGGTGCCGTGCCCATCAAACGTGAATTCGGGGCATCGACCACCAACGAACCTCCCAGACCCCAAGACACACTGCCCGGCACGCCCTCCGCATCATTCTTCTCAGCTCGCGCAGTCGACCTCCTCCGCGACAACCCTAACGGGATCCCATCCGGAGCCCCAGTCTTCGACCCACACGCGGAGAGTCCCTCCATCCGCAAGACCGCAGGCATCGACCACAACAAGAGTCTTCCTGTCTCCAGGCCCATGCTCGCCGGTGCCGGCGCCGCCTCCCCAGCAACCAATAACACCCGAGACTTCGTCAACCCATCTCAAGATATGAATCGCAGGATCGGTGCCCCGGGCATGAACAGTCCCATGAACAGACCCATGTCCACATCATCTTACCGGCCCTTGACACGGCCAAATATCAATGCTCCGGGTGCAGCTGCGGCCGCCAATCGTGCAACTACCCCGGGTCTTGCACCGCAGAACGTGAACGGGAAACGACCCCCTCTGTCTGATGTGACGAATGCCTCGAACCCGAGTGGCGGCAGCGGGCCTGCTCCACCAGGGGTCAGTGAGAATGACCCGAAACGACCCAAGGTAAACCCGGTCCTGG